CCGCGCGCAGCAAAGCTACGGCCGACCGCAGGAACCTGCAATCCAGTCTGCCCGTCAGGGAGGCGATCCTCACCGGCAGCGTCTCGACGATCAGCGCGCTGCATCATATCAGCGCGCATAAAAGGTAGATCGGCATCTGGTATATCGTCGTAATATGTCACGAAGCGCTGGGTCAACATATGTTCACAATTTATTGACGAAATGATCTAAGACGGCCAAGGCGAGATGCGGCAGCTCTACGATTGTCCCGCGCCCACCTACAATTTGTGCAACTTCAAACTGCAAGTCCGCATCAATCTCATGTTTGCCACGCGTGGGACATAATATGCCATAGCCCTTCCTCTTTTTCCCGCCGCCGCGCCTCTGGGCGCGGAGTAGGCGTGCCCTCGGACCTCTGACTACTCATCAGACTTTCCGTCCTCGCTCATGAAGGATCGCTCATGGAGCCGAAGCAGTCTCCAGGGGGGGGGGGGGGCGGTGACGGGGGGGCCAAGGAGGACCGAGAGTGGCCGAGGGACCAACGGAAGGACCGAAATAACAAGCAACTAACGCAAGGGGAAACGCGGGGGTCCGAATAAAGAACGGGGCTAAGGAGGCCCCAGAAGGGGGCGGTGAGTGACCGAGGGGCGAGCGGAGGCCGACGCGGAAGGGACCAAAGGGGGGCCGACGAGGACGAAAGCGACGGGGGAGACCGAGGGGGAAACGAAGAGGACCGAGATGCCAACGGAGTTTGATGGGGGCCGAAGGAAAGGGCTAAGGAATTCGAGGGGGACCAGAGGGGGACCGAGGAGGACCCAGGGTAGCCGAGGGGCCGACGGAGGTCGACGGGGGCCGCAAGAAGCATGTCTCAGTAGATCCCATCACGCGGCTTCCGAAGAGACCCACTGCTGGCTTTCAAGAGCACCCTGAGTGGTCCGCCACCAAACACCATCGAACATCCAAAGAGCTCTGGGCCAACAATCCAGACACGGTGGCGGCATTGGCCGAAGGCCTTCTAGATGCGCGAGCAAGGTGGTGCACAATTGCTATCGCAGCCTGGCGCGTCGCATCCTGGACATTAGCGATCCGCGTCTGCTCGTGGCATTGCTGGGCGAAAATCAATCCAGCCAAAACCACTTGATCCAATCGCTTACAAGGGCAAAGGCGGCACCTTGCATTGAAGGAAGGAACGTGGGCGCACTGAAATGTTGCAGCGGATGGTTGGTGAGCTGACGGGCATGCACCGCAACCACCCGAGGGCCCATCCAGGGGGCCGACGGAAGGAGCTACTGAATTCGAGGGGGACCGAGGGGGGACCAAGAAGGACCGAGGGCGGCCGAGGGGCTGGCGATGGTCGCGGGGCAGAAGTGAGGAGATATAGTGAGAGGGAGGAGGAGGAGGAGGAGGAGGAGGAGGAGGAGGAGGAGGGAGGAGGAGGAGGAGGAGGAGGAGGAGGAGGAGGAGGAGGATGAGGAGGAGAGAGGACACGACGGGGAAGAAACAACAGTGGTGGATGGAAAGGGTGGATGGGGAGGGGAGGGGGTAGGGAAAAAAGGAATTGCGGAGTCCCTCCCCCCCCCCACCCCCGTTCCCACTCACCCACCCACCCGACTGATCTCGGGGCGGGGAGCCCCCAGATCAGTCCGTCTCCTGAACGTATATCGAAGAAATCGCCCCCAGACAATGTTTTGACTCGTGTTCAGTCTTCCTCCTGCCCAGGGACGGGCCCGACCTGAGCCGAGAGCCCCACGCCCGAGAGCCGCTCTCCTGAAAGTGCGCCTCCAGGCGCCGCGCCCCGCACAGCTTGCAGCCGGCGCCCGCGGCCTCCCCCGCGGGGCCCCCCGCCAGGCGCGGGCCCTCGTCGGCGGCGAGGTCCGGCCCCGCGGGCCCGGCCATCGGCGGGGCCCCCCGGGCGCGGCCGAGGAGCGCTGCTTGCCGGAGGGGGGGCGAGGAGCCCACACTGAGGTCGGGCATGTCCTCACACAGGCGGATGGTGGACGGAAAAGAATCAAAACAGTTGACACCTGCTAGAGGAGGAGCAAGACTGGTAGAAACATCGTCCCCGGACTGTTCGTTCGGACTGTTCTTGAATGTTCCTGCTGTAGGGGGACATGCCCGACTGAAGCCAAGACCCCCTCGCGGTGTGGAACAAAAATCACGACGGGAAGCTTTTCGCCATTTTCGGCCTCCGAGAGCCCTCGCCGGGCCGCGGGAGCGTCAAAAATAGAGGGCTCGGGATGAAGAAGCGGTCCCAGGGACGGGGCCCAGACCTCTGGGGGTCGACGATGTGAAAAAATCGAAACGTCGGGGGTCTGGGAGAATGTGTCTTTTACGATTCTCGGGGACGCACTGGCTTGGGCGTCGCATAATGGGGGGGGATAGGAAATGAGCGGGGAAGAAGGGTGCACTCTTCATGCCCTGAAGGTGCCCTTGTGGACCTTAACGAGCCCTTGAGAGGCCCTCAAGGGCCCCTTTTCTGCAGCCCTCCCTGCCCCGCAACCAGCCACAGCCCCTCCTTTACGCGACGCCAAACTTGTGCAGGTTCATGCCAGCCGGGTCAAGCAGGCGCTGCGGGCTCCTGCAGGATCCTGCGCGCCAGCCTGGTCCAATGGCTCTGCAGGATCCTGCAAGATCTGGCGCTCTGACTGACCTGTGGACGCCCGAAATGGGCACGGAAAGAATGGGTATAGTGCCCAACAGCAAATGTTGCCCCAAACCAACAGCGGCCGCTTTTGGGCAGGCGGCCCTCTGTCTCAAATGTACACAGGCCGCGGCGACACCGACAGCGAGTCCTGTTCAGAATGAGCAAGAACTGCTGTTGGGCATTGTACCCATTCTTTCCGTACCCATGTCGGGCGTCCAAATGACCCCTGTTTGCATTGACCCCCGTCTCAAAGTTTCCGAGGTTCGCGATAACGGCCGTTGCCGCGTGGATGCTCCCGCCTCCTCCCCCCCACGTGGTAACGTCACGGTTCGCGCCGGCGCCGTTTCAAACCTGCTGGGGGCAGTGAGCTCCCAGACGGCGCCGGCGCGGCGCCGGCGCGAAGCGTGACGCTGCCAGCCACCTCCTCGCGCCCCCCCCCCCCCCGAAACCTCAGGGCAAGGGCCGCTGTCTTCAGGGCTTCAGAAAGTTCCCTGCGCGGGGGAAGGGGAGGTGGGGTGGGCGTGCACCGTTCGTGCCCCTGTGGGGCCGCAGTTGGCCGCTCCAGACGGCGGCGAGCGGCGGGGGGGGGAAAGTGTGAAGGAGGAGGCCTTCTCAGAAGGCGGCGGAACTTCCCAGAGGCCATCGCGCCTGCTGAGAAGTTTTCTGTCTCTTCGGGGGAAGGCTGAGAGAGCTCCCAAAGGTTCTCAGAGGGCCGGGGGGCTTCCGAGCCTTCTAAGAAGGCCCGCTCCCTCTCACTTCCCCCCTGGGCTGACCGCCGATTCAGGGCCCCCACTGGCACGGAAGGTGCACCTTTCCCCTCCTATTTCCTCGCCCCCCGTTACGCAGCGCCCAAGTCTGGGGCGTCCTGGCGGTGCTGAGCGGGCCAGCCGAGCTGGAGCCAAACAGGCTATGGGCACACGCTACGTCACGAGCGCCCTTCACAGTCGGCGTCGCCCTCGTCTTGTGAGGGAAAAGCGGGGGACATGTCGGCCCCCATCCCAGGCCTCTTGAGGTTATCGAATGACCCAGAAATTTGGGACTAAACCCCCGGATATACGATGGGGGGCGCTCATCTTTGATTATGGTGCGTCCGAATAGCCCTTGGGGTGTTTGCTGTGAACGGCCACAGTTTTCGGACGGAGCCCGGGGAGTGGGGGAGATAAAGCGCATGCGAAGAAGTCCTGGAGGCCTCGCGCGGCACCTTGCAGGTCGAGTTCCGTCGGATTCACGCCGGATTTGCGTCGGGCCCACGTCGCACGTACGCTGCGTCGGAACATCGCCGCGCGAAAGTAGTCCCACATCTCACGGGGCAGACGTGCGGACTAGTTAGATACTTACACTGATTATTGCGCGCCACGCGAGGCCCCTGGGGTTCCCCTAACAGCTGGCCTACTCGCCACCAGGCCTTGAGCCCGTTGGGGCGTGTTGAGAATTCTCCCTTGCGGGCCCCCCCCCTGCACCGCGCCCCCCCCCTACACTCCCTGAAAAAGCCCCCCCCCCCCCTGAAATTGCCCCCAGCTCTGCATTTCGGCCCCCAGCTGGCCAAGATGGCTTCCAAGACAGCTAAAGTCAAGACGACACCAGATCGGCCCAAGATGGCCCTTGACGGCTCAAGAGGCTTTCAAGACGGCCCTGAGACGGCCACCAAGACGGCCCTGAGACGGCCAACGACGCCCTCATGACGGCCTCGGAGGGCTCCAGGAGGCCTTCAGGCGAGTATGGGGAGGCAGAAACAAAAGATTTCCATTGGTGGTTGATGGATTGTGAGTTCTCGCCTGTTGGGGTTTCCGTCCGCGCCTCCAAGAGGCCGCCAAGATAGTTCGAAGACAGCCCAAGAGGCCCCCAAGAGGCCTTCAAGTCGGCCCAAGAGGACCCAAAGATCGCCCACGGGGCTCCACAAGGGGGTCTGGGAACAAACATAACAATAGATGGCGGCGATGCTCCTGGCCCCGCAGAGCCCAGCACCCCCGACGTCATGATTCGTTCACTGCGTCGACCCCTGGAGGTCTCGACCCACTCCCCCTGGACCGGCTTCTTCTCCTCCCGCATCGTTCTTCGACGGCCCCGACGGCCGACAGGGGCCTCCAGAGGCCGAACACGGCACAAGACCTCCCGACAAGATCCTTTCATTGCCCGAGTGGGTCTGGATCTGCGTAAGAAGCCACTCCGCTGGACTCCCCAGGGTCGCACGACAAAACTAGCGGTCGCGCAGCTGACAGCATCCAGCAAGGCGAGGTCCCCTTTGGATCTGCATGAGACGCCATCCCGTTGGACGCCCCGGGCGCTCGCGACGAAAGTGGCGGCAGCCGCGCTGTCGGTATCGCCGGGGGGGGGGGAGGGTCTGGGAAAAGAAAGGGGGTGCACGGGCGGAGAGCGCCTTCTGCCCCAGGCGGGCGCGCTCGCCGCGGCCCGCCGCGCGGCGCTTCTGGGCGCCCGCGGCCCCGGAGCGGCGGGGCGCGGAGCCCCCGCCGAGGCCGCCGAGCCAGCCGCGCCACCGGGCCTTCGCCTGACCGTGCACGGTGGGCGGGGCGGCGGCGGCGGCGGCGCCCGAAGAACTCTCATCCTCCTCTTCCTGCTCCTGCTCCTGCTCCTGCTCCTCCTATCTTCTCCTCCTCTTTCTCCTCTTTCTCATCCTCTTTCTCCTCCTGTTTCTCCTCCTCCTCCCCCTCCTCCTCCTCCTCCTCCTCCTCCTCCTCTTTCTCCTCCTCCTCCTCCTTCTCCTCATGCTCCTCCTCCTCCTCTTCCTCCTCCCCCCCCCCTTGACTCATGGCCCCATCTCCCACCCCCCTTCTGTCCTCCTGTCCTGGCGCACGGGACCCCGAAAATCCAACCAACAAGAAGCCCCAGAGCCTGGCGCTCTGCAATGGCACCTGGCGGTCCCGCCTGGCTTCGGGCCCGGGTGGTCCTCATTGTTTTGTTTGGCCGCAGTGTCTGACCACAAGGGGGCACAAGCCAATGACAAACGGCAAAACGATCGACGCGCCAAAGGCGCGCCAACCGGCAGCCGCGCCAAACGCACGCGGAGCATGCAAACGCAAGCGCATGGAGCGTAACTGACCCAGAGAAATGCGTACCACTTAAGTGGAAATGGACCTAGGTGAGCCCATGCGAACAGCGGCATGACTAGATTTGTATATGTATATATATATATATACATCTATATATATATATATAAATACAAGACTGCATTGGCGCTTCGCGCCATGCTCCTTGTTCCGGACGCTTCCCCGGCAAAACAATGATTCTTCGCTTGCTCCAGCAGGGGACCTCGAAGCCTGGACGGGATATCCCTGGTGCCTGCTGCCACTGCGTTCGCTCGATGCGCTTGCACGCTTTTTCGGGGAAAACGGAATATTATTTCACGCGCGAAGGTCCTCCAAGGTTTAACCATACCCATCCCTTCCCCCTCCATTCCTCCTCGTCCGCCTCCTCCAGTGGTTGAGTCCATCCTTTGGGGAAGTAAGGAGCATTCCCACGACACGCCGAAGAAGTCGCAGTAGCTCCGAAGTAATCGATTTTTAATCGCTTCCTGAATGCCTGGGGGACTCCAGGCACTCAGGAAATCTTCGATCGTCGAACTTCGAATCCAGATCCATTGCCTGTCTCTCTCGATCGAGGAATTTAAAACTCGAGCATCAAATGTGGAACCAAGATCTTCGGGTCAGTTCGATGTACTTCGTCGAAGAACGCCGTCGGGGGGGGTTCGTGCTCTTTTAATCCGTCCAGGGGCCCTCCTGGTCTGTCCTAGGGCATTCCTGGGCCGTCTTGGGGAGCTGGGGCCCTCCCGAAGTCTCCTGAAGCCATCCAGGGCCTTCTTGGGGGCCTCCAGTGGCCTTCTTGGGGGTCTCCCTTGGCTTTCGTGGGTCTCTCTTGGGAGCCTTCTGGGGGCATCTTGGGCTTCTTGTGGCCAGTCTCGGGGCTCTCTGGGGCACTCTTGGGGCCCTCCTGGGCCGTCTTGAAAGCCTCTGGGGGTTTCTTGGACAGTCTTCGGGCGATATCGGGGGCCCATCGGGCCGCCTTGGACGCTGCGAAGACCCAAAAAGCTGATATGCTAAACATTCACGTTTTCCCCAGGGAATCGGACGAGTTGTGCTTTTTCGGGGCTCTCTTAACTGCCTCTTGGGGCGCCTATTGGGCCGTCTTCAGACCATCGAGGTTCCTCTTGGAGCGCTATTGTGCTGTCTTGGGTCTCTCTTGCCCCTTTCCGATCGCCCGTTTGATCGCCTTGAATCTGCTCGCAAGACCCGGCAAGGCGCCCTGGGAGACCCGGAACCAACGGACGTTTTCCAAGGGCGTCCAGGGGGCCGTCGACACGTCCGAAAGGGCGTCCGGGGCGTCCCTGGGGTGGGGGTCCAGTTTAGGGAGGGGGGCTGGTAATAAAATTATCCCAGAGCGACCCTACCTATAGGAGGTGGAGCCCCGAGGAGAGCAATATTAGTAGTAACGGTAAACGCCGTCCTCCTCCTCCTCCTCCTTCTCCTCATCAGCACCTGTCGCACATTGCTTTTGCTTTGCCTTTCCTTTGCTTTGCTTTTGCATTTGCTTTGCTTTGTTTTGCGTTGTTTGTGTTTTGCTTTGCTGTTGCTGCTGTTGCTTTGCCTTTGCTTTGATGTTATGCAATACTATGCTATACTATGCTGCGTTATGCAATGCTATGCTATGCTATGCTATGATATGCTATGTTAAGCTGCGAAATGCTGAGCTATGCTATGCTATGCTATGCTAGGGTATGCTAGACTGCGCTATGCTGTGCTAGGCTATGCTATGCTAGGCTATGCTGCGCTATGATACGCTATGCTATGATATGCTGCGCTGTGGTATGCTGTGTCATGATATGATGCGCTATGTTATGCTATGTTATGATATGATGCGCTATGACATGCTGGGCCATGCTATGGTATGCTAGGCTGCGCTATGCTATGCTAGGTTATGCTATGCTGTGCTATGCTGCGCTATGCTGTGCTATGGTATGCTATGTTGCGCTATGATATGTTGTGCCAGGTTATGTTATGCTATGTTGTGCTGCGCTATGCTATGCTATGATATGACATGCTATGCTATGTTATGATATGCTATACTATGCTATGATATGCTATGCTATGCTATGCTATGCTATGCTATGCTGCACTTTGCTATGCTATGTTATGATATGATGCGCTATGGTATGCCATGCCATGTTATGATGTGCTATGCTATGCTATGTTATATCATGATGTGATGCGCTATGATATGATGTGTTATGATATGCTGCGCCATGTTATGATATGTTATGCTATGATATGCTGCGCTATGCTATGCTGCGCTATGGTATGCTATACTATGCTATGCTAATGCTGCGCTGCAAGGCGCTAAGCTGAGCTGAGCTAAGCTAAGCTAGGCTAGGCTAAGCTAACCTAAGCTAAGCTAAGCTAGGCTAGGCTAGGCTAGGCTAAGCTAAGCTAAGCTAAGCCAGGCTAAGTTCAGATGAGATAAGCAACGCTAAGCTAAAGGAACGTCACTGGGGGAACCGCGAGGCGGATCCTGGGGGAACCGAGCGGGGCGTTTTGCACTGCCCGGCCCCTTTAAGCAAACACAGTAAGAACCCTTCTAGGCAGAGCCTAGGTAGGGAATTATCCTGGCGAAGGATCCAACCATATGAAGTTGTGGGTACCGCAATTGTGGATATCTTCTTGGTGACGCCCCCTATGGGGCCACGAAGCGCTGCGCTGGGGGGGGGGGGAACGCATGCGGGCGGTAGCACTGGGGCCGTCGGTGAAGCTCCCTATGAGGCCACGAAACGCTACACTGGGTGGGTGAAAATACCAGATTAGGCGTGTGGGACGTATGCAGGCGGTCCCATTGCGGGCTCGGTGGAGCTCCCCATGGGGCCGCGAAGCGTAGTAAAGGGTGGGTGAACATGCCAAATTGGTGTGGGGGACGCATGCGGGCGGCCCCACAGGAGGCTTCGGTGGGGCTCCCTATGGGGCCACGAAGCGCTTTACTGGGTCGGTGAAAATGCCAAATTGGGTGTGGGGGACGCATGCGGGCGGTCCCATTGGGGGCTTCGGTGGGGCGCCCTATGGGGCCACGGAGCGCTGTACTGGGTGGGAGACAATGCGAAATCGGGTGTGGGGGACGCATGCGGACGGTCCCACTGGGGGCTTCGGTGGGGCTCCCTATGGGGCCACGAAGCGCTGTACTGGGTGGGTGACAATGCGAAGTTGGGTGTGGGGGACGCATGCGGGCGGTCCCACTGGGGGCTTCGGTGGGGCTCCCTATGGGGTCACGAAGCGCTGCGCTGGGTAGGTGAAAATGCCAGATTGGGTGTGGGGGGGACGCATGCGGGCGGTCCCACTGGGGACTTCGGTGGGGCTCCCTATGGGGCCACGAAGCGCTGCGCTGGGTAGGTGAAAATGCCAGATTGGGTGTAGGGGGGACGCATGCGGGCGGTCCCACTGGGGGCTTCGGTGGGGCTCCCTATGGGGTCACGAAGCGCTGTACTGGGTGGGTGAAAATACCAAATTGGGTGTGGGGGACGCATGCGGGCGGTCCCACTGGGGACTTCGGTGGAGCCCCGTATGGGGCCACGAAACGCTGTATTGGGTCGGTGAAAATGCCAAATTGGGTGTGGGGGACGCATGCGGGCGGTCCCACTGGGGGCTTCGGTGGGGCTCCCTATGGGGCCACAAAGCGTTGTACTGGGTGCGTGACAATGCCAAGTTGGGTGTGGGGGATGCGGGCGGTCCCACTGGGGGCTTCGGTGGAACTCTCTATAAGACCACAAAGCGCTGTACTAAGTGGGTAAAACGCATGGAAGAAGGAGGAGGGAGGGGAGGAGGGGGAGGACGAGGAGAAGAGGAGAAGAGGAAAGGAACGCGGGGACTGTCTCTTCAAAACGAGGACCCAACATCACAGGATGGTTGGGAAATATAAGAATAGGAATGTTTCGGTACTGTTTTTGGCGCGTCTCGTAAGAGCCCTGTCTGAGACCTGCTTCCTACTCGCGAATCAGGAAGAAAAAGGGCGTCCGCCATCCTCAGAGCCAAGCCGTTGAGCCTCTTGCCAAGGACTTGATAATTACTAGTACGGCCCTGTCGGGAATCCTTGATGCCAACCTCGAAAGACTGCTGCCATCCTTGTCGGTCCAGCACCGATTCGCACGTCGGATCCGCATGGGCGTGGTGCACGCCTCCGTCCTGTACATGGATACAGCTTCGTGGCCCCAAGGCTTCAGGAGAGCGTAATCACCATCTTCATAAATCTGCTGGGGCGCCTGGTTCGCATGCCTTTCGGCGTTCGGGATTGTTGAGTTCCACTCCGGAAATGCGTCTACTGGCCTCGCCGCTGCGTGACCTGGAGCGCCACCTCTCGGGGGGAGGTGCTCGGCGGTCCGCCCGGGAGGATGGCCCGAGGGCGCGGGCCCCGGCAGTGAGCTTCGGACTCCGGCCTTCCCGCCCGGCCCTTCGCTGCTGCGGGCGCCCGTTGGCGCCGCGGCCCCGGCGCGCAGTGCTGCTTGACGGAGGGGGG